AATGAACAATGCAGCAGAGAATTTGTCTGTGAAGAAGGTGAGGCAGGGGACAAGAGAAAAGTGATATCTGATACGTTCAGCTATCTCCTCACGGATAACTTGCAGCACTTCGCTGTTTACTAGAGGAGATATCTGAGGCCATGAGCATAACTCTCAACACTGCCCATCTCATCACACCTATGAATGGCCAAGTACACTCATCAGGACTGACGTGTCTTTTACTATGTCTAGGGGTCACTGTTCTCAGTGCGCTCTCCTTCAGACACTCTTCACATTCAGGAAACCAACAGGTTCCTACCATCTTCTCTGACCACACCTGTACAGATCGGAACCTGTCATCATTCAGTTACCAAAACAAGATGCAGAAATCCAGCCCTGCTCTGGAGAAGGCAGCACATCTCCTGCCCATGGTCCAGCAGCAGACGCGGGGCCCTCCTCACGGTCCTCAGGACAAAGCAGGCACTTCTGTCTTCATGATCTACAGTCACCCTCGGTTCCTCGCTGCTGCCATAACAAATGGCCACAAACTTAGGGGACTAACTAACACAAGTGTGTGACCGTCCAGCTGTGCAGATCACGAGTCTGAAGTGGCTGTCACTGAACTAAGACACGGTATCAGCAAAGACATGCCATGTTCTGGAAGGTCTGGGACAGGGGACAAGGAGCCAATCCCATAGGTCCCAGGGGGCCACTGAAGAACAGGGAGCTCCTGGGGGTTCTGAGCAGATTACTGACAAGAAGACCGGCTCCTGAGAGAGACAGGAAGCAGGAAGTAGAAAGGGGTAGTGCCCGGACAGGAGGCTACAGGGCACAGTGGGAGGGGAGCAGGCGGGGGCTCCTGCAGGGCTGGCGTGTTCACTCCAGAGAGGAAGGTGTGGAAGTCTCCGAGTGGAGGAGTAATGTGCTCTGGCTCTCGTGTGAACAGGACGGCTCAGGTGGCGGGCTGTGAATAGATGGGGCAGGGACAACGAGGAAGGCGGGCATCAGTCAGGAGATGGCAGGGCTCCAAGAAAGGTGTGCGGGGGAGGCCCTGGGAGGTATGGGTTCCAGGTACATATAAAGACAACATGGACAGGACAAGCTGGGTGTGAGCAAAAGCAGTAAAAGATGCTGCAAGGGGCCTACTTACCTAAAAGAAGGGGAAAGCCCTCATCTGAAGCACTGGATGGCTCTTCTGGAGGAAGAAAAGTGAAGACAGAGAAGACAGGCAGAGATACAGCTGTGGGAGCATTAGGTCTTCAACTGAAGATGAGACCAACCAGAACGGGGTACCGTGTGGACTAAGCAGAGCGCGGAATAGAACCATGGCCACAGCTCTAAGGACTTACAAAAACCTAAGAGGCCAGAAGGGGCTGGCAGGTGGGGCCAGGGCCAGCCTCTGGCATTCACTACAGGACTTCCTTCCGGGTCCACATCTCTTGGTGCTCCAATATGTCATTTACTGGAGTTTTCAAAGACAGCCTACAGAATGAACTTTCCATGTCCTCATTGCTCTTACAGACACCTTCATCCCACATGTTGGTGGCTGACAATGTATCTGGTTTAGACTTCAGAGACACAAGGTGTTTCCCCCAGGGCCTCTGAAGACCCTGTTTCAGGGCTACCCTGCATCTGGCATCGCTGATAACAGTCTGACGTAAACACCGCCCTTCATCCTAAGTAGGAGACTTCTCTGGTAGAATCTGGATCTTCTCCATACTCTAACCTTGGCTCTTCTGCAGTGACCCCAAACTTACCGCCAGGGCTGCCTGGGACATGGTGCTGACACTAGGCTATGGTCAAGAGAAGTGATGTTTGTGACCATGGGCTACTGATTACTTGGGCAGGACACAGGGGCCTGTACCCCTGTTTAGGAATCATGACTGGATTTACAACTTGCACCTGATGTTGGTGGCACGTGGCCACAGGGTGAGGCTGGTTACGGAGGTGGAGCGTGCCTGTGTGCCCATCTCACAGATCCCACCTCCTCACACCCAGGCGTTGCACACGTGGCAGGTGATGGCCAGGAGTGTCACGGCCACGAGGCCAGGACTGCGATGCCCAGAGCCCTTCAATGAGCACGGTTCTCCTACTGCGGCTGCTCTGTACATGCCACCTACTCACAGTGGAGGCCTGTGAATCCTGTCAGCGACCACTATACTATTAGTGTGTAATTAGCACACATATGTAATAGGAGTAAACTTTGTTAATTAAAGAACTGAAAACATCTGTAATGAATTATGACAAGAATCCTGAGTTTTCCTGGTAAAAAGGAACCTGCAGAGGTTTTGGTTCTCCTGAGTCAGGCAGCCTCTCAGATAACTACTTTCTACAGAGCACAGCTATCCAGCAGGAACATAATGCAGGCCACGTACACCGTTTAAAAATTTCTAGTGGCCGCATTAAAAAACTGTAAAAAGGTACAAGTGAATTTAATTTTAATGATACATTTCCTTTAACCTAGTATGCCAAGAACAAAACTAACAGATTATTGATGAGATATTTTACATTCCTTTTTCATTACTAATCTCTGAAACGTGGGGTTTATTTTTACTTTGCTGTTGTTCAGCCGCTAAGTTGTGTCCAACTCTCTGTCACCCCATGGATGGCAGCACGCCAGGCTCCCCTGTCCTTCACTATCTCCCGGAGTTTGCACAAACTCATGTCCATTGAGTCAGTGAGGCTATCTAACCATCTCATCCTCTGCCGCCCCCTTCTCCTCCTGCCTTCAATCTTTCCCAGCATCATGGTCTTTTCCTACTGAGTCTGCTCTTCGCATCAGGTGGCCAAAGTATTGGAGTTTCAGCTTCAGTCCTTTCCAACACACTTAGAAAACATCAAGTCAGACTAGCTACACTCAAGTATTCAGCAGTGGCATACAGCTACCATATCGGACAGTGCAGCAACAGGGTCTGAGACTCAATTTAATTACTAAGCAACTCTAGATAACAACAGGCTATCTCCTTTCAGAAAATGGTTGGCTTTTAGATCCATCTTAATTTACATGAAAATCCTGCATTTTCAGATGTTACAGCACTAGATGAAAGTGGGTTATGAGTAATTCCCACCTGCCATCACATTGATCCAGTATCATGTGGATTTCATGCTATTCCTGGGGCGGGCTGGGGTCAATCCATGCCAATCGAGGTTTCTCTGCCTCATGCTCAAAATCAATCACCAACTGCTAAGACTTGCTAAATTCTAAACAGTGATCATCTGAGCCGCCTTTCTTGCCTCTACTTGAGCTTAGTCTCCGGCTGTTGCCGTGCAGACTGACTCATGTAGAAGCAAGAAAGGAAACCGTACACCACCAAACAATTTTTGGAGGTCTTGTGAGATTAAGCAAGACCAAAAAAAAAAAAAATAAACAGTGATCAATTACTGTGAAGTAGAACAACTTGCTCTTTGGCCGCATAGATTTACTAATATTGATCTTCATAGAAGTCTGACAAATATGTTCTCATAACTTATGTGTTTCTATTTGATTTAAATTTTTCTTCACAATACGACTGTTTTGATGCCTGGTAATGTTCTAACACTGGCTAAAGGCCGACACATGCCCAGTGATCACTGGTTCTTTCCACAGTAGGAATCCTCTCATGTGCAGCACATATGATGTTAAAACCACAGCACATCTGTCACGGAGCCTTCCCAAAGTGAAACTCCTGATGTAAAAAACTCTAACATCTCCTAAATGTCTTGGGAAATTCATAATCTTTGAAAGGCTCCCCTCCTGCACAAATACTCTGAAGTCTATTAAGGTTGATGCAACAGTTTAAAGAATTTCCTCTCTTGTATCTGAAATTTATAAAACTACATATGCCCTAACAGCCTTCCCATAAACATTACATTTACAAGGTTTCCTCTTCAGAGATTGCATTTATAAGGTTAAATATGAAACAGAGCTATAGATAAACTAGAAAAAGTCAGAAAGTGTCATAAAAATTTTGTGAAAAGAGACTATTTCAAGTACAGCACATGGATAAATACTAACACATATTTCAATCCTAAGTGAATGTCTCTCCTTTTAATAATCCATTTGAACAGTCAATATTACAGTATCACAGAAGTAACAATATTACATATAATTTATATGTAACATATAGTCTTAAGTCTAAGTTCTACCACTCCCTTTATTGTGCTTAAAAATAGTTAAGGCATATAAGTTAACGAGTAGCAAATTAATGTCGTTATAATAAAAGGGAAGGAGTATATCTGATGGTCCTCCTCACTGGACATTTGTCTTCCTTAAAGATGAATATGAACGAAGCAGAGGAGCAGCAGGGAGGAGGGGCCTCCTCAACACTTGATCAAATAAACATCCTGACATCTTACATTCTGAACTCGGTTTTCTGAGATTCTGGTGCTCACTCCTTCCTCTCAGCAACCTCTGCCCACGCGGTGCTGCCCCCACAACTCTTCACCACCCGCTCTCACCAGCGCCCAGAGGAAGCCCATCCAGCGACTCCCACGTCCACATGCAGTGACGCCCTGCAGGTCCCAGCCACTGGGGCCCCGGGAAATGCCGTCTGCACCATGCTGAGGTTAAGGCCCCCCGGGACCCCACCCACAACAGACTGGAGGCCATCTAAGCAGGATCTTTCACATCCCCAGAACCTTATCAGGCGTGTGTATACAGGAGGCATTTGTTTTTTAAGAATCTGTCCTGTCTGAAATCATGCAAATAGATTCAAAATTACACTTTCTAAAAAACAATTTATTTCAACAGAATTAGAGGCTATTTTAATTGCTTTGTTCCTTATGTATTTCAAGAATGCTTTTCTAAAAAGCAGGTAAGAAAAACAAGTCAATGGCATTATATACGATGCAGTTATTTTTCTAAGAAATTTTACATAAATTAAAACTCTAGTCAGTCACATATTAACTCAGTAAATACTACAGAGAAAAGCTAGCATCGCTGATATATTGGAATAACAATTATTACCCTGCCTTTATGGTGTGTGCCATTAACATTTAACCTAAACACACACTGAGGGTGTATCCCAGGAAAACATACTCACCCTGACGTCGGTTGCATCTCCATGCCTGATAATACTGGCCCAAGTGGTTGGCTCACTGTTGCTTTCAAAATAATGAAAGACCTTTAATACTCGCTCCATGGCCCCAGGAGAACGCTCCACACCAGTACCCAGGTGAGTCTTGGTACTTGAACTCGGTGTGTGATTCAAGTTTGGGTCAAGGTAAGCAGCTGCCATTCTTTTGCTAGATGCTAGGTATCTGTCATATTCTGGAAAAGAAAATAAGTTTTTTCAGTGTACAATATTTGAAATCTACTGGTTAAAATGTATTTTACTGATACACTAACATAACAACACTGTTCTTTGTTCTCTCCCTATGATGTGTTGTATGCAGGTGAGCCTGAGGAGACTTGAGACCGATTCCCAGATAATCACTGTTTCCCACCACCAGCCCCTTCCCACCACCCCCACCACCTCCACTCAGAGCAGCACCTGATTCACAGCAACATAATAAATATTTGTTAAACAAACTACTAGAAGGCTGGGAATCCTATTTCACCTCTGTTCAAAACTGGCTGTTATCTATAAACAATATAACTTACCACCACCATCCCCTTTAAATCAGGCTCTAAATCTGTCAGAAATATCTCATAGGAAAGCAAAATGTGTTAATTTTACTGCCTATTTTCAAAATCTTTTAGTGATCTCTTTTGCTCCCCAAATTAGACAGTAAGGAGAATAAATATAGTATAAACTGCTTCCTGAAAAGAAACATTCCATCTTTGGAGTGGTCAGAAGAAATGATACACTAGTGATAAAAAATCACTACAGTTGACCCTTTAATAAGGCAAGTTTGAACTGCCCAGGTCCACTTCTATGCAGATCTCTTTCAAGAGTAAATAAACACTACAGTTCAGTTCAGTCGTTCAGTCGTGTCCGACTCTTTGTGACCCCATGAATCGCAGCATGCCAGGCCTCCCTGTCCATCACCAACTCCTGGAGTTTACTCAAACTCATGTCCATCGAGTCAGTGATGCCATCCAGCCATCTCATCCTCTGTCTTCCCCTCTTCTCCTGCCCCCAATCCCTCCCAGCATCAGGGTCTTTTCCAATGAGTCCACTCTTCGCATGAGGTGGCCAAAGTATTGGAGTTTCAGCTTCAACATCAGTCCGTCCAATGAACACCCAGGACTGACCTCCTTTACAGACTTACACAATCCCTGGTTGGCTGAATCCCCAGAAACGGGACCACAGGTACAGCAGCACCCTCATTCAGGGGGCTGAGCACAAGCTACATGTGGACTTTCCCTGCGAGGGCTGGCACCCTAACCCTACGCCGCTCCCGGGTCAGCAAGATGCGTGACAGGGAGTGTGTCAGGGAGGTGCTAAACCAGAAATAACGCACAATCCTGATACCTCTCTGTGGCCAAAACTCAATGGCAAAATCCTTCATAAACCTCTAAAAAGTAGGCCTAAACTTTTTTAGAGGATAAACCGTTCCATGACAGAATGTGGTTCTGCTTTATTGATTCGAGCTTTCATTTGCTTGTCAAAATTCGATTTGTGCTATAAACTCTCAAACTGGCCAACACCTCCACCCCATCAAGCCTTCCTTGACCTTTCTGGACAGTTCCATGTGCAAGTCTGTTAACCACCACCCAACCCTAGCGGTGATGTTCCTATCTGTCTTTCTGCAGGACTGAGGATTCAGAGAGCCTGGCATGTGAGCTGGTCAGTCTGTGGGATGGTGTCCACTATGGAATGAGAAGTCCTAAGTACTGCTCTCTGCTATACTGACTCCTCTGCTTCTAAACAATTAAGAGAATTCTCTGCTGTTTGTGCCGTTCTCTACTTGGTTTTGGCCCATGGCTGAAGATGTACAACTGGGGCTGCCAACTCTCTGTCTCTAAGTGAGAAGAGCCTTTGCCCTCCTTCACCAGAGAGGTGGGCTCCAACTGGAGCTTGTAGCTGCAGCCCTCTGCAATCTGTGGCTGGCTGCATTTTTTAGAACTTTTCAAGATTAACCAGTTACAGGCACCTGCTACTTACACACACTATAGAATATCTTTTTCAAACAATTATCAAAGAAGAGGAAATGAAAAGGTTTTTAAAGTTGGCTTACTTGTATAATTTAGACCCCTGTTCTTCAAACCATCAGTGGTAAATGACCAGCTTTGTTTTCATTTCCAACCTGTCCCAGACCAATACTTTGTAAAATACAATGCGGAGGAATTTCTAGAAAAATGAAATTTAAAAATAGAAGACATACAAAAGCCAAGCACAAAATTTCTATCATTAGAGTCAAGGAACATAAAACTACCATCAAGTTGCTATGGTTTCCAGACACCTGTGCCAGATTCTGCCCTTACTTCGCCCTACACTATGGACAGTCCCAGCACAGCCCCAGTCTGCGGGCCACTGCCAGTCAAGTCCCCGCTCAGGCACCAGGCTGCCTGGGGCAGCAAGAGGCCAGCGCCTGCTGGACTAGGAGATGGGAAAGCGGACGGCCTGTCAGTGGCAGCTGCCAACCTTCCAGCTTCAGGCCTTTCACTCACACACTAACTTCTTTCTTGGGAGAGCAAGGCAATCCCAAGGCAGGCAGGTGTGAGGACACAGGAGCTGACAAGCCTTGGCACTGACTCCAAGGCTCACTGCACAATCCAATATTAATGCTTCGTAAGACAGCACATAAGAAAAAGGAATAAAAATACGAGGACCACAACAAGAATCTTACTCCAGAGCTGCCTTGCTTATATTCACTGTACATACTAAGATCCCACCAAGACAGCAATCTCAGTAAGCTTGTGATAAGCTGGCCCTTTAATAAAACGGGATGATTGCCAAATTATGAGAAGCAAAGAACGCAAACTGATACAGCTAAATTTTTAAAAAATTAAAGACATCAACTAGTTTGAAGAGTTTTAAGAATTTGATAACCTTAAAGTAAATCCTTAAACAACCTAGACAACTGTGAAAGTTTTCTCCTTAATTTTGTTCTTTCACCCATGATTTCGGTTTATTTTCTCATAAAATGACTAACCTGAGTATCCTAAATGTCCCACAGTGATTTTACTAGACAGAGAAGCTAACATTATTTAAATGTTTGATATTCTAACATGGAAGGATATATATGAAACTCCAATACTTTGACCACCTGATGTGAAGAACTGACTCATGGGAAAAGACCCTGATGCTGGGAAAGACTGAAGGCAGGAGGAGAAGGGGACAACAGAGGATGAGATGGTTGGATGGCATCACCAACAAATGGACATGAGTTTGAGCAAGCTCCAGGAGTTGGTGATGGAAAGGGAAGCCTGGTGTGCTGCAGTCCATGGGGTCACAAAGAGTCAGACACGACTGAGCGACTGAACTGAACTTGGTATTATAATGTCAGTGTGTGACAGTTTATATTTTTCAAATTCTCCCCTTTCCCAGTGCCCTTTTTCCAATGTGACCTTGACACCCTTTTCAAGAGGCATAGTCTATGTTCCTTCCCCTCGAATCTGGGTTGGCTTAAACTAGGCTCAGATACACCCTAAGCCAGGTCATTAAAGGCAACACCAAAAAAAAAGGAAAGCAGGAACCGAGGTTCCCATGGTGCCCTTGGGAGGCTCACTCAGGAAGTCCACCACCACACTGTACAGAAGTTCAAGCAACCCAAGATCACAGCTCCAAGAACCACAGCTTCAGCTGAGCTTCCCATTGATGGGCGGCATCACCTCTGGAAAACTGAGACAGAGTCACCTTGAAAGACCCACTGGCTCCCAGCTGTGCTGCCACAAGACAACACCACACAGAAGGGATGAGCCGGCCCTGCTAAGCCCTGTCCAGACCGCAAACATGAACAAAACAAATAACTCATGCCATCTGAAGCCATTACGTGTCAGATGTATTGTTTTCAGCAACAGACAAGTGATACAGTGTATGTTCAACTAACATACGCAGCAGTGATTCTTCCTTCACCTGGAAGTATGGGACATAAAATGACAACCAGAAGCTGTGTGGACAATGCTTGCCCCCTTCTTTGCATTGTTAAATTAAAGATACAGAGCGAGATCTTTTCAGTGCCTGGACAAATGTCACACACCTTCCTAAGTTTGGGTCACTTTCCTTCTACACTTTATTCTTTGTAATTTCAATGTCATGAAACACCTGAGAGTTCCTCTAATGCAAACTTTTTGCCATGTCACTTCCTCAGTGACATCTGTTTCTGTCACAATTATTTTCTTCACTATGTCAGTAAGACATAAAAGACACCCACCTTTACTAAGTTCTTTTGGCTGCAAATCCAGAATGTCTGGCTCAAAAGCAAAGTCAGAATTCCTAGAGTTGGCTATTTTTTTCTGTAACTTCATGTATATTCAATTAGAGTCATACAAAGTTATTTCCACCAGGTAGTAAAAGTTTTTGCCATACTGTGTACTTAATTTCTAAGATCCCTAATTAGTTCGAGAACTTAAAAGTAACTGAATATTGGAGACTTAAAAAAAAAATCCTAAGGAAATCAAGAATGGCAAAATAAAACATATATGTTCTTTATAAAACCCAAATTAATAAGATAAATGTATTTCAGGTTGAAAACTAAGAGCATTCAGAGTATGATAACCTATCTGTTTATATTTTAACTGTGACCTGTCGTGGTGATAGAAATCAACTCAGGTTTCCTTTCCGGGGGCACTGACTGCAAGGGGCCAGAAGGGAGGCTGCAGGGAGCCGATAACCTTCCAAACACTGATTTGGAAGGGGGCAGAAAACCTGGGCCCGGCTATGTAGGATTTATGCACTTTACTGTATGGATGCTGTAACTTCAATTACACATCTTTATTTACAAATATGAGAACAAAAAAGGTTTGTCAGAAGACTCTTATCCAACAACTGACCAAAAGAAACATGCAGTGCCAAAGCACACTAGCTAAAATTAACGCCCAAGCCACAGTCACAAACACAGCACAGAAGCAGTTCACACGGACACATTTTGTAGATGCCAGCTGTTCTCCACTGCTGCATTTCTGCCTCTGCCACTCTCTTAATGGCACACGCATGTGCTATTTTGAAGAACAAGTAAAATGTGTGATGTTTGCAAATATGAAAATACTCATTTACCATCTTTTATGAAAGGAGTTTTTAACTGCATTTATGATATATGGCCATACATATGCACACGTACGCATACTCAAGACAGATGTCTTTAAGACTCTATTGAAAAATACGGGACATTATCGCCAAAAATTGCAAAGACACTAATAAGCACAAATTTTCACACGTGGCT